GCCCACCTACCCCAGTCAGACCTGCCCTCCCTTCGCCCAGCAACACGCAGTGCCTACCCAGGCCACAGGGAGCAGCTGCGAAGACTTCCAGTCGACTGCCCATTCCCTCAGCCATCCCCAGGCCCTCCTGCCGAATGCCGCTCACCAGCCGGAGTGTACCCTCTGGCAAAGGTGCCCTACCTCCTGATTCTCTGTCAACTTGGAAAGGGTTTTCCAGATCAAATGCTGCAGGACACAAAGGTGAGGAAAAATGGACATAAGAGTAAAAAGTTAGGAGGAAAAATACTGACCCTGGCACAGCATCCCAGACCTAGCAACTAATTTCTCTTTCACCACCTTCCTTAAAATTCCATTTGACCTGGGGAGACTGAATTGAGAGAACGTGTGGGTCTGGGTAGAGAGTGGGGGCCTCGGTTTCTAAGTACCTCATGGATTTTACCTGGCAGAAGAGGCACGTTTCCCCTTTGTGTTTTCAGGTAAAGAGATCAGGACAACGAGCAAGAGTTCAGTAGCAAAGCACTAGCTACATCTTCAGCTAGTATTTCTTCTCAAGATGGTCATTTGAACTTTCTGTTAACTGCCTTTCTTTTGTTAACCCCCATCAAGCTCCTCTTTCCCAGCTACCACATCCTGCTGTGAGGGGTGCCACTCGCAGCAGTCTGCAGCCTCCCAGGAAGGGTGCAGTTCCTGGACCTACCAGGTAAAGAGATCAGGACAACACGCAGGACTTCAGTAGCAAAGCACTACAGTCACTGCCTGGATTCGGCTGTACCAGCAGGCCCAACTCCAGAATTCTGGCCTGGAACAGGGGAAGAAGGCGCCAGGCTGATCCCTGGGAATAGAGACCATAGCAGTTGGGGTGGATTCAGGTTGAGCTGGAGGACACCCAAACTCCCTGAAGATGAGAGGAAAAGAGGTCACCTCCCAACAGTGAGATTAACAAACAAAATGAGAAATGCAGGCAGTGGCTTATCCTCTTCTGTCCCCCCTCTTGCAGTCCACCCTGGAGAGCTTGATCTTCTTCCCAGGCATGGTGCAGCGGACACATTTCCTCGTGAATGACCTCCATTGCCGGCCCTGCTCTCCAAGGAGAGGTCTTTCTGAATCACATCCTCCACTGGATGCGGGCCTATTTGGAGCGGGGAAGCAGGCACCTGGTTGCCAGAACTTGTATCCTGTGAATTCTATGATTCCTTACAGGCCAGTCGATAACCCTGTCAGTCTGCATTTTTGTAAAATAAAGGGAATGTATTTTTGTATTTTGTGTATATCTGCAAGTGGATCCTGGCCTAACTTCTAACCAATTTGGTGGAAATCTTTGTAATTCTAGTGAGATGGCCAGGACAGACCTCCCAGGAAGGGGCTTGAACAGGTCCTGGCCCTTGAGCTTCCAGCTCATCAGGCTGTGACTCCCTGCTTGTTGGTGTCTGATGGGAGCAGGCTCCCTCTCCACGGATTCAGGTAATAGAGGCACCCAGTCAAAATCAGGCTAGTTTTATTCCTAGCGTGTGAGGCTCTTATGCTAGGATCTATGTAAATTATTCATATTCTACATCCGAATGTCCTTTGCTGCCAGGCAGCAGGGCCTCCTGGGAACTCGCTGGCTCTTTATCTGCTGTGCTTGTGGACTGAGCAGGGTCAGGACACCTTGTCACATTCTCCGTCACACCCTCAGGACTATCCTCTCTCCTCTACTGGACTCGAGCGCTGGCACCAGTCTATAAGCCTTGGTAGTACCCCAGTGTTCTGACTGTAGCAGAACATTTATTTATTTAGAAAATACTTGAGTGTAAGATGGTGAATGTGTTAAGTAAATGACAGAGATGCCTCAACAGATTTAGCTTAGGGTCTCACATCATTTGTGGACTTTGACTCGAGTTTTGAAAGAACTTTCCTCCTTGAAAACCAGACCATGCCTTCTTGAGTAGAGTGGGCAGCTGGACAGAAGTTCGACTGCCAACTGCCAGCTAGGGTCCCTGCCTGCCCATGGGATGCGCCTGCAGTGAGATGCCCCTCCTGTCCCTGAACTCAGGGTCCCTTTGCCTCCCCCCCCTTTTAAGGCTCATTTAACACATGCACCTGAATCACAGTGACAGCCACCCCCACGTTCGCCTTTCCCTGTGCCTCTGCAGCCCGAGACTCCAGAATTGGTATGGGGAGAGGGTAGTGGAGACGTGTTGCATATGTGGTTTTGGAGAAATTTGGCATAAAGCAAGAAAATCTCAGGTGTGTTTCCCAGCTGCCTCCTGCACCAGTGTCTAGTGAGCAGGGGCTATTGGTGACCTTCTGCTGTGAGGTGGCACTGGCACCTCAGCAAGCCTATGGACACACCTTGGTGTGGCTATGGGGCAGACGTTTGTGCCAGCTTTTGGCGAGCCAGGCCTACCTTGAGTGGGTAAGAGACAAACACCCCACAGACCCATGTGCTGCTGCCCCCTGGTGGCCAGAGAGGGAAAGGCCTGCTCGCATCCTGGGTCAGTCTTGGTTTGCCTCCACCCTCAGCCCTTTCCACTCCACACAGCCTGCCCACTCCCCTCCTGCAATTTCCATTCTACCTGCTCACCCCCTCCCCTTTGGGCCTGACTTTCTATTTTTCTGAGTAGTTACTCACCACCTCTACACCCCAGTAGCAACAACAAAGCCAGCCAGTGTTTATTGGCCTCTTGCTATGCACTTTGAACTGTTGTAAACAATTTACATGAGTTAGCTCATTTAATGCTCATAAAAGCTCAAGTAGACAGGTGCTGTTATCCTCATTTTGCTGCCCAGAAACTAAGGCTCGGAGAGGTTAAGTCAGTCTGGTTCCCTGACTTTTGTTCGTAATTATCACCCTGTAGGGCACCATGTTACCTCCCCTTCTAGTCTGTTTGAAAAACACAAAATGTGGGTCTAGCAGTCACGCTGTAGACCTCAAACTTCTCTCCAATATCAGTAGTTGCTTCATTTTCCAATGGAAAAAATGGCCCAGAGCAGTGGAGTCAGTAGGTCGCAACCACAACCACTAAGCACCCTTAGATTCCTACCTGCCACTCGACCTGTCCTACCTCAGAATTCTGCGCTGCAAAACGTGTTCATGTCTAGGACTTAGCCCTGAGGACTAGGCGCCTGCCTGCTCAGTGCAGCCTCCCCTGCAAGGCCCGATTGCCCTGAAAGGACACCTCACCTGCCCACTTCATCTTTGGCACTGCCAGGATGTGGGCTCTGCAATGATAAGGTTTGGGGGCATCGCTAGGGAGAGCCACAGGGAGGCGGGCTAACCAGCCAGACTCCTGGCTGGGGGCTTGGGTCTCCCAGGCCCTGGTCTTGTCTCCGTGTCCAGGCCTTCAGCCTCCAAGGAGACGGCATCCCACAGGAACACACGATGCCACGGACACGCCTGCACGCAGAACTATCTGTTTATTCAGTAGTATGAGGATGGAAAAAACAACAAAACTATCATATTTACAGCAATGAGCGAGCTGTACAATCTGATGGTTAGTATCAAGTTAGCATCCAGCATCTTTGTATGTTTTTTAAATCAAGTCATCAGTAGTAAAAACCAGTTAAAATTTTGACCCTTTGCAGGAATTGCTGAGGGGAGATGGGAGAGGGCAGGGGGAGACGCCACAGCAGAAAAGCCAGAAGCTGGCCTTCCAAATGCAGCGGAACGTTTTCCTGCCTGTGGCCTCTTTCTAGCCACATGCTATAAGGAAAGTCAGTGACAAAGTCTGGAATACATGCTTAGAGCAAAAGGTGACTCAAAAAAATAGTGGTCAGCAAAACCGGGAGGGAAATGGAATGGGGCTGAGAGTACGGGGCCTCCAGGCCAGGCTGCTGGGGGCACACCCAGCCTGCGATGGCCACACCGGGCCCTGGGGTTGCACAGGAGCCCATCCCAACACAAAAGGCAAATAAATAAAAAATATATATTAACTCTCTCTTCACAGGGAGCTGGGGTGGAGTGAGGGGCGAAGAGAAGACCTGGTCCTTTGAAGAAGAGAGCCAATTACAAGGGGTTAAAAACAGAACATGTCTCAGAGGCCACAGCAGGTCAGACAAAGTGGCATTTGTCTGATTTGGGAGGCGTGGGTGGGTGAGTGGACCAGAACCCAGAACTGAAACCTGTGCTCGAGGCCCCTCAGGGCTCTGTGCTTTCACTTTGTCCCCGCCCTTCCGCCCTTCCACCCACCCTCCCGACAGCAAGTAGCACGACCCAACACTCACGGGCCTCCCCAGGAGCCAGTCAGCAGGAAAATGCAGCACTTGGGGTTAGCAAACTGAGCAGACACCCGGGCTGCAGCACAGGGCCGCAGTCCAGGGAAAGGAGAGGGGCTGGGGCCGCTGGCCCCCTTAAAACATGTTCATGCAGCATCTGGGGGTCCAGGGGTGATGAATCCTTCTGCCCCTGGCCAGACAGGGCTTTGCAGTTCCTGGGAGGGGTGGCACTGGCAGGCGAAGTGTGCCCTTTGCCCGATCCCTCGCCCACTGAAGCCTGCCCGGCACAGCCTGCAAGGTCTGGCGCCCTGGGGTGTGTGTGGCTTTGTCCTTTCCATTTGGTGATGGCAAACGAGGGGCAGGCGCCCTAAGAGTCCCTCTCCTCCCAGAGGCACAGCAGATGGGAAACTGAGGAGAGGCCGGGGGCGTCCGGGGAGGTCCTATCCTCTTTGGGAAGGGAAAAGGGAGGCGGTTTCCAGCGTATAAAAAAATTAATCCCTGAAGTCATGAAGAGTGGAGATCCTTTTTAAATTCCTTTTTTCCTCTTTTCTGAAAAACTTTGTCTTGGAGATGTTGGCCCCAGGGGTCCAAAGTGCAGTGAGGGCCATGGCAGGGAGGGGTTGGCACTAGGTGGCCTTGGGTGCAAGGCCCAGGCTCCTCAGATGGATGTCTCGTCGCTGCTGCGGCAGGCAGGCGGCGGCACAGGGAGCGGGGGCAGGGCAAAGCACAAGACAGGAGTAGGGGCATGAGCGCAGCCGGGAAGGGGAGGGAGCCTCGGGACGCAGGAACACCGGCCCAGGGTTAATGCAGGAAGTTAAAGAAGAGAAATCTGGAGAGGCAGGAAAGGAGAGTGGCAGAAAAGGCAGACAGAGGTTAGCTGGAATGGAGGAGACAGCGAAAGCTTTCACCAGCAGAAGGAGACAGGAAAGCAGCCCCAGCTCCCCAGCCCCCTGCCTCGCCCGATATCCATGTCCAGAGCTGGGCTCTAATGTACACAGCCCGCGCAGCTTGGCCCACCCCCAGGTGGGCTGGGCACAAGCCTGGCTGTCCTGACTGCTGACTGGGGCCCGGGACAGCTCGGCCCCAGCCAGGACCTCTGCAGGCAGCACCCTGTCCCACCCACCCGGCCCCACTCACTCGGAGCCCGAGGAGTCCTCGTCCACGGTGCCCGCCTTGATGCTCATGGCAATGGGCATGACTCCGTTCAGCTGCTCCTGGAGGCTCTGCCGGGGCGGAGGGCGCGGGGGAGGCACAGCCCGGCTACCTTCACTGGCCGAGGAGCCCAGGGACGAGCCGGTGCCCTGCTCCAGGGGCAGTCGCAGGAGGCTGCTCTTCTCGCTGATGGTGGGCAGACACTTCTTCTTGAGGATGCCTGGGGGCAGGAGGTGGGCGCATGAGCAGCAGGTGGGAGGAGCGGGCCAGGAGAGGCTCGTGAGGTGCAGACAGGCGTGCCAACGGGCTGCCCCCTCACCTTTGTGAGGGGGGGCAGAGGGGCCGGGGAGGGGGCCCAGGGCCCCGTCCCTAGACACGGCCTCTCCATTCTCCCTAGGCCGCTCCTCAGGGGGCCCGCTCCCACCATTCTCCTTGGCTGTGGTCCCAAGGTCTCCTGGCCAGGGGACCTTCCCAGGCCCTGGAGCTCCATCTGGCAAGGAAAGGAACAAGGTAAGACCCAGAGGCTGCAGGGGGCCAAGACAGCTTCCGCCCAGTCCTGCCTCCCAGGAAGCCCAGGCCTCCAGGGCTCCCACCGCCCCCCAAGGCCACAGGCTGCCGCTGGCCCACCCTTGGGGGTGCTGTGCAGGGCCAGTCTCTCCGCTCCAGGCCCCAGCAGGCTGTCCCAGCCCTGCTCGCCAGGGAAGGCAGCCTCCTCCTCCTCCTCTTCCTCCTCCTCGCTGTCTGACGAGTGGGTAGAGGCATAGGAGCCACTCTGGTCGTCTTCCAGGGACAGGTCACTGTCAGAGTCCGTGTCAGGATCTGGGAGGTCAGGGAGGGATCACAGCCGGCCCACCTGCCTCGCTTGGCACACCCTTGGTGAGAGCCAGCCCCTTCCCTACTGGGTGGTCCGTGCCCCCCATCCTCACCGTGCTGCTGGTCTTGTCCATCTAGGAACAGGCCACCAGTGTCTCCCAGGCCCGGGGGCCCTTGGCCAGGGTTCAGGGTGGACTCCTCCCTACAATGACAAGATCAAGCTGCAAAGGTCAGCTCTGCCCCTCAGTGCAACGCCCTTCTCTTTCCCCTGGGAATCCTAGTTCCTGCCTCACCCCCCGGCTGCTTCCTATTCAAGCTGCCGCCTGTGTTGGCCACAGTACATGTGGTTCGGCTCCTAGAGCCCTGGTGGCCTAGATCCAACATGCATGTCCTCCCCTCCCACCCAAGGCTCACCTCAGCAAGAATGGGATGTAGCTGGGCTGGCTCTTGCCTGAGCGGCTGGCACTGTGCAGAGAGCCGGCCGAGTCTCCGTAGGGCTGGTACAGCCGCCCATCTACATAGGGGCTAGGGCAGTTGTAGGACTAGGCAGGGGACAGACAGGTCAGTAAGTAGAGGATGGGAGGGGTAGCCCCAGGCCAGGCAGCAGAAGGCTGCAGGGACCCTGCCCTATGTCCTGCCTTCCGTGTGGCCGGGTCTTAAAGGTGGAGGCGCACACCTCTGCGGCCCTCCCCAGCGGGCCTGACCAGGGTCATGGCTCTGCCACAGCTTTGCAGCTCTGGACACCCCAAACCCTGGGCTTGCTACATAAGAGCTTGATGGTAAAAGATGGCACCAGGAATTGTCTCCTGGGAGACAGGAAATTTAGTAAGATCCAGGAGGATCCTTAGGTGCTGGGTACTTGTTACCTGACCACCTGTCTCTCTCTGATCTCCAAGGCAAAATCCTGCAGCCCCGCCCCCCACCTGTCCCTCCACTTCATTCTCTCTCCAGAAAAGGATTCAGGGATGGAGAAGAGGAAAATGGGGCAAAAGGTGCAGATAATAGGCTTCCCAGGCCTGCTTCTCCCGGCCCCGCCTATCTAGCCCTGCGCCCCCTCACCGAGGTCAGGGTGGACTTGGTGGTCAGAGCAGGATCAGGGCTGGGCTTGCGGCTACAGGCAAACTTGAGAGCCTTCCGGACCTCCTTGCTGAGCACCACGTAGGCCAGGAAGATGAAGGGGCCCTGGCAAGCAGAGGCAGCAAGCGCTTGTGTATACTCACGCTTCCCTGGCCACGCTGCCCTCCCCTTGGCCTGGGCTGGACCGGGTACCTGGACACAATTGCAGGCAGCAAAGAGGTAGTGGAAGAGGAGAGTGTCGCTATTGACAGACAGCAGTGCCAGCAGCCACGCGGCGCTCAGCAGCAGGAGCACAAGAAAGGAGGGCTGCAGGCCCGAGCTGAGGAGCAGGACACCTGTGAGCCGGGTGTCAGGCAGTGCGGCCCTCCCTGTGCCCAGGTGCCCCCATACTCACACAGGGCCTTTCTTCTCAAAGCCCTGCCTCTGGGCAGCACAGGAGGCCCGGGCCGCCAAAATATACAGGAAGACACTCATCTGGGCAGGGGAGACAGGCATAAGGGGCTGGCGGAGCACACAGCTTTCGTCTCTCCCCAGGGGACCGAGCAGATCCAAAGCACACACAGCCTGTTCACCCAGCCTGCTTTCTAGCACTTACTGAGACAGCAAAAGCCACTGGGCCAGCAAAGCTCCAGATGAGTGTATCGTAGATGGACAACCAGCAAAAGTCGGGGTTACCATAACCCTCGGGGTCCAAACCCACAGCTAGTCCTGGGGCAGGAGGAAGGCAACAGAGAAGGCGGTCAGGGTGGTAGGAAGCCAGGCTGCAGCCAGGCAGTCTGTGGGGCTAGAGTGCAGTGTGTGGGCAGAAACTGTCCACACCGCTCTCCAGAAGGGAGGCCAGGCCCTGCAAGGTGGCCTCAGGGACTCAGTTCAATCAGAGCAGGTGTCAAGAACAGGGGGAAGGGAGTCTCAGGATCCAGGCTGGGAGTGCGGGGCAGGGAAGGAAACTTCCAGAGCATGAAGGCATGGAGTACCTGTGATGAAGGCAGGCACGCCCCAGCCCAGCATGTAGTAGAAGCGCATGGGGCCAGCATTGACGTCGCGCACCTCTGTGAGGGCCCGGTACAGGTGTAAGGCCTCCAGCAGAGCCCAGGAGAAGGTGCAGAGGTACAGGAAGTGCAGCAGGATGGCGATGACTGTGCAAGCAAACTGCGGGCCGGGGAGCCGGGTCAGTGACCCAGGCACAGCCAGCAGCACAGGGGAGCTCTCGGGGCAGACATGAGGGAGGCCTGCGGTGGGGGTCCGTGTTAGGGGACGCCTGGGCAGGAAGCAAAGATCTCTAGGCTGCTGGGGCATCTGGTGGAGAATGAGAAGCAGGCCAGGCCCTGGGCCGGGCTATCTATTCATCAGTATTGTAGGGGCAGAGATGGAAGTGAGGACAGGGAAGGGATCACCAGGGGGCTCAGGGGTGGACAGTGGGAGTTTTGTGGGGAGCAGGGGTGTCTTACAGGGAGGTCAGCCTGGTTGATTCCCAGGAGGAAGACCAGCTGGGCCAGGCCCAGGGCAGCTGTCAGGTTGCGGCGGATACCATGCTGGTTGGATCGCAGGGCACGAAGGAGAGCAAGGAAGAGAAAGGTGAGGACCAGGGCAGCCAAGGTGACCCCGAGGGCCACATATGTCAGTGTCTTCAGTGGCAGGATCTCCCCGTTCTGCAGGGCAGGGGATAGGGGACCAGGCATGAGAAAGGGCAGGCCCGAGCACCCACCAGTCCCCAGGCTGCACCCATGGCTCAGACCTCCCGCCGGGACACGTCCATGAGCACAGCGAAGCTCGTCATGTGGTTGCACTGGCAGCTGACGTGGCTCTCGTTGCGGAAGACGACCTCACAGCCTCGGGCTGACCAGCCACCTGTGCCACTAACCCTGTGTGAGGAAGGCAGGGTCAGGAAGACAGGGAGGATGGGCTCCCGGGGCCTGGGGGTTGACGTCAGCGCACGCTCACAGGATCGAGTGGTTCCAGAAGACACAGATGGGCTTGGTTCGCTCCTCCGTCTCCAGCAGCCGGAACTGCACAGTGACCGGCTTGTCCAGGGCGCGCGGCAGCAGCTCCTCGTCATCGTGCACACTGATGCTCACCACTGGTGTGTTGATGACCGGGCGCTTGGGGACTCTGATGTGGGGCAGGGACATGCAGCCGTGTGACCGAGAGACACCTCACCCCATGGACGTGATCCTGTTGCCCCAGCCGCTCACCTCAGACTGCGCTTATCAGGGTCATAGTTGTGCGGCAGTAGCCCGGCCAGGGTGCGGTAGATGATGACACTGGCCACAGCCTCTCCCTGGTTTAGCTCTGGGTGTCGCCGCTGCCGCCGCGCCAGCTCCTCAGACTCCTGAGCCTCCCCGGGGCCCGCGGGCCTGACCATTGAGGGCATCTCTGGAGGCAGAACATGGCTACCTTAGCTCCATGGGTTTCCGGGGCCAATTCTAGAATCCCCCTCATGGCCCCCACTGACCTCTGAAAACAGACTCAGGCAGGATGACCATTGTCTCAAGGTCTGGGGGCCGCTCCCCACGCAGGGCCTCATAGCGGGGCAGCTTGGCCCCAGCAAAGTTTCCTTTGTCCAAGCGCACCACAGAGATAACTGGAAGGAGGATGGTTACAAGTCAGGCTCCACGGAGGCAGGCAGTGCTGTAATGTGGCTGCCCGTGAGGGAATGCTTCCCACAAACCACTGCCCACCGTGGCCACCGGCCTCACCGATGTTGGGCGTGACAATGGTGAAGGGGCTTAGGTAAGTGTGCCGCATGTTCTGGGCCAGGGCACTGGCGTAGGCCTCATAGTGCTGGAGCAGCCAGGCGGTGCCACCCTCCGTCTGCTGGATCAGCTCCCAGTGCCGCTTGTTGGCTGCATCCAGGAGGGCACTGCCCACTCGCAACAGATTCTAGGGGTGGGCATGGTCACAGGGGCATATGCTGACAGCCCTCATCTGTCCCCATGGCCAAGCCCCTCCTGTGCCTGGCCAGCCCTGCTCCCCGTGACCATGCACGTCCCTTAGCACACACCCTGGCCACCACTCTTGGGGATGGCACCATCCACTCGGATCTTTCCTCCTCACTCTCTAAGAAAAGTTCCCTGCCCCTGGGCCCCACTGTGAGTGTGCCCAGGTGGGCGCTGTGGGCGCTGCTGCTCCTGGTCAGCACACAGCTCAGTGCAAGCAGCACACTCTGTGGCATTGGCTCCAACAGGGCTCTGATTTACCCATGTGCTACACGCAGCTCAGGGACTTTCACCGAAGCCTCACACTGGGGTAGGCTGCCAAAGGTGCCCCGAGCTCACCCCGACTCCAACCAATAAGCCAGCCCTGCACACTCCAAGCCCACCTCTGTGAAGTGCACGTCCTGTGTGGCTGACAGCCCAAAGCCCCGCTGGGCGCTCTCATGGGCCAGCAGTCGCGTGGCCAGTTGGTAGGCCACTTTTACGTCGCTGCCAAAGTAGCCAGCTGTGTGCTGCGTGGCATTACGCAAGAGCAAGGCCAGCCGCTGGGAGCGGCCCGAGTCCAGGCCTGACTCATTCTGCTGTAGCCGTTCAGCCTGTGTGGGGACAGGCAGAGGAGCAGAGAGTCAGTGCAAAAGGGTGCCTTGGGGAAGAAAAGGGCCTCACAAGGGGCACGGAGTATGTCCCAGTGGGGGCCTACCAACACAGGGACAGGAACTGCAGAGTCCCTGTGCTCAAAGATGGAGACAGTAAGAGAAAGGAGGAGGAGGGGGGGATGCAGCAGTGCACTCACAAAGCCCTTCAGCTCCGAGAACGTGACTGATGTGCAGTTGAAGAGGTTTGGGGGCAGCCATCCCCTGTGCTCATCACAGTGGCGCACGGCGGTCCCTGGGGGACGAAGCAAGACGCCCAGCCTCAGAGCGACACAGAGGAAGCCCCTGTGAGCTGCCTGAGGTTCTGCTGGGAGCCAGCACTTCAGGGAGCAGATAAGCCAGAGGCGAACAAGGCCCCATCCCTCTGCAGCCCAGGTGAACACAGGAATTGAGGTGTATAGAACACCGGGTCCAGAACCTCTGCAAAAATCTCCCAAGCAAGGACGCAAGAGCACAAGGCATACAACCCTGTTGAGCCCCAGCTATCACTGCCTCTCTGCAGCCACTCCCTGCCTATGAGCTCTGCTCACTGCCAACCCAAGGACTAAAGTCAGCCCCAGTCCAGGGCTTGGGTCCCGAGGCAGCACCTAACATTCCTCCTCCCCCAGACTGCCTGCCCGTCATCTCCACATTTCTGTCCCAGGCAGACCTGGGGGGTAGGTAACAGAGACAAAGAAGACGGACATAACACAGGGCTCCGGGGTCTGAAGCTTCCTGCCCTCACTCCCGACAGCAGAGGCCAAGTCCTCAATGTCACATCCAGGGCCTCCAGTACTTACCAAAGGAGCCTTTGGGGCAGGGGGCAGCAGCAGGCAAACCAAAGCGCGTACGGGGCCACCAAATCCCAGCCTCAATGGCACGTGGGCAGCTGTCATAGTTCACTGCGAGAGAGAACGCACACTTGCTCAGAGCAGCTCACCCTCTCGCAGCTCTGCCCAGGTTCCCTGACCCTTCCTCAGCACACCCTGCAGGCCCACACCCACCTCCCTGGGGGACAAACCTCACAGCATTGAGGGCTGCCCACTGTTCCCAAGAGCCCCACCTTCACAGCCATTGGTGGTGACCTCAGCAAATGGGTTGTCACAGCGGTCACACTGGCGTCCGATGACACCAGGCTTACAGGGACACTGACCATCTTCAGGATCACAGACTCGGGACAAAGAGCCTGTGGGGTAGCAGTCACATAGGAGGCAAGTGGAGCTGCCAGTGGGCCGGTAGTGGTTCTCCTGGGAGGGAGGGAGTCACTGGGTCAGGCTCTCTTTCCTTTAACAATGGGCAATGGTTTGGGGCTGACCCTGCCAGTGACATGCCAAGCAGCCAGGACAGGCTGCAGACAACCAAGACAGCTGGCCCAGGACTCACTGGTTCCGTACTGGTTCTGGGTCTTCCTGAGGCCCCCTAGTCCCAGACACATGAGGACAAATAGCCACCTGCCCTGCCTGTTTGAGTGAAGGCACGTGGGCCTCAGTCCTGTACAGGAGGGCCCCTCTTCACCACCACCCCCGAGGTCCCAGAAGCCTGGGGTGGCCACAGCACAGGCCTGGGTGGGGTGGTTACCTTGCAGCGGCACTCGCCGCTCGTCTTGTTGCAGTCTGGGTCAAAGCCTTTGCTGGCGTCACAGCTGCATGGGCCACAGGTGGGGTGTCCCCACCAGCCGCGGGGACAAGGTTGGTCAATCCTGTAGAGAGGGCCCCAGGCAGGCATGAGCCCCATCAGCCGCTCCCACCTGGGATGGCCACATGTGGCCCCTTCTACACATGGCTGCAGCTTGGCCAGGCTCTTGGGTGCTTTCAGGAACACAGTCAGCAGCCATTAGGACCTGCTGCTGTGTGGCCTGGCCTGCTTACCTGGTCTCACAGTATGGCCCAAGGTAATTTGGGGGACACTCGCAGATGTAGCCATAGGGAACACTGGCCTTGCGGGTGCACACAGACTGGTGTTCACATGGGTTCAGGTCACACACATTAGTGCAGTTGTCACCATAGTAACCTGAGGTAAGAAAGACCGGCGAGGCTCAGTCTCTGCCCTCCCCAGGCACTGTCTCCACCACTCACCTTTGTCCTCCTTCCACTCTGAGCATCACACCAGCTAGTCGTGGTTTTGAAGCACACGAGAAGGCTCAGAGACATGATATAACTGGCCTCAGGTCACACAGCAGAACCATGGTAAGACCCCAGGTGTCTGCCAACCCCATCTCCTGGGAACCCCAACATACCCGGATCACAGCTGCAAGAATAGCTATCCCAGTCATTGCTGCAGTAGCTGTTGGCAGGACATGGGTTGGAGTCACACGGGTCCGGCAAGCTACAGCCTGTCTCCACATTGGTGCTCTCCCCTCGGCTGGGATCCAGACTGCTAGCACCCTCAGGTGTCTCGCTTACCCGCACACCCTGGGGGCAAAGGGGCAGGGTCAGCCTCGGCAGGGCTGGGCTCCAGGCAGGTGGGAATGGGCGGGAAGGAGGCTCACCTGCAAGCAGCCCCGGAAGCCGCGGGCCACGCCACCAGCCGGCCCCGGGACTCCCCCAACTGTAATGTTGCTCAGATGCAGCCCATGTAGCCGGGGGCCCAGGTTGCCCTCCGCCCTCTGCTGCCCATAGTCAAAGGACAGGACAGCATGGCCAGGGCCCCCACTGGCGCCCAGTGCCAGCTGTGCATGATGCCAGTCCCCGTCGTTGGCCCGGCCTGGCTCCAGACGGAGGGTCGAGGCCTGCAGCCCTGTGCCCTCCACACTGAGCACCACGTGGCCCTCCCGGAGCTGGCGCAGGAGGAAAGAAAGCAAGGTCAGGACGAGTCCGTAAGTGGGTCTTCGCGCCGCCCCCGGCCCTCTTCCTGGCCCACTAAACCCATCCTGTCACCCAGGGAAGCAAGTGTCCGCTTCTCTTAGCCCAGTAGGTGGCAGCATTGACTGCCACTCTGACTGCTCCTCCGTCCCTCAGGCCCGCCCAGCCACCTCTGGCCAGCCCCAGGCCACGGCAGCTCTGGCCAGGTCTCCCCTGTGCCCGCATCACCTGGAGGGTGATGGTGCTGCGCCCTCTGGTGACAGCCTGCAGCAGGACCCCGCTGGCCTGGCGCGTGCGGAACATGAGGCTGAGGTGCCAGGGCTGAGAGATGGGTAGGGAGAGGCCATGCCAGGCCACCAGGCTGCTGCCCAGGAAGTGCTGAGGGTTGGCCATTTCTGGAGAGGCAGATGGAGGCAGACTCTGAGAGCAGAGCAGGGCAGCGCCCAGAGGGCGCGATGCTTACCAGCGACGCTCCGTGGGCAACAGGGCACCGCCGCTCCTCTCACCCACGCCTCGCATGGCCCCACCCTCCCCAGCCGCTCCTCACTGTGCCTGGGCCTGCCTCTGACTGAGCCCTTTGTCTCAGGTGCTACTCTCTGCCCAGACTCGCTCTTCCACCCACGGCCACGCATGCTCGCTGTGCCCTGCCCGCTGCCTGCCCCAGCCCTGCCAGGATCCCAAACCTCACGCAGCACCCAGGCCCCGGCCTCCTACCCTCAGCACAACTCTTGCCACCAAAGCCCAGGGGGCACTCGCAGCTGAAGGCATCCCACTGGTTCACGCAAGTGCCCCCATTGTGGCAGGTGCTGCTGTCACACACGTTCTTCTTGGTGGGGCAGCCTGGAATAGAGCAGGCACCGCCGTAAGAATCCACAATGGCGGCTGGAAAGGCCTTGGCAACCTGCCCAGGCCAGGGTCCCCACTCAGCATGGCTTGCCCTCCTCCCTCAGTGGGCTCCTAGCTCCCCACCCCAGGCCCCGTACCAGGCACAGTGCCATTGTTAGCGATGAAGTCGGCCATGTCCACGTGCCTGCTGTCCACCTGCAGGTTCCTCATGCAGCCCACAAAGTGCCGCATTCGAACAGGGAAGTTCTCGGGCAGGTCAGGCACCCCACCCAGCAGCAGGGGCCCTGTCAGATCCAGAGATCTGGGGAGCAAAGTGAGGCAACCTAAGAGCAGGCTAGTGGGCCTGGGGAGATGGCTCAGTGGAATAAGTGCTTCCCTGGCAAGCGCAAGGGCCTGAGTTCAATCCCTGGTTCCGCAAAAAAAAAAAGAGCAGGCTAGAGCTTCCAGCTCTCTCTCCACATGTCCTGCTGCTAAGCCAGAGAGAGGGCCTGGGCAGGAGGCTGAGAGCTCAGCACAGCAGCACTGGGAAAGGGGGTACCCCAACCAGGACCCACTCCCCACTCCAACCCATCAACCACAGCCCACAGCCTGGGGCTCATTCCCTAACCACCACCTCAGGGGCCAAGCAGGGCTGGGGGAAGCAGAGTGAGAGGCCCCATCTGGCTTGGTCTGCCCTCTTGACCTGCCCTCCCTGGCGGGCCCAATTTGCCCACCCTTGCGTCCCTTCCCCTGCTCACTTCTTGCTGCCACCCTGGGTACCCTGGGCAGCACATGAATAGTTGCCCAGCACAGCTCCGAAGCGCAGAGCCACCCCTGTGTCACAGCCATCCACAGTCACCACAGCCACCTTCTGCTCAGATGGGCCCTGTGGGAGTCCTGTCTGGCCCAAAAGTGGCTGTGGACAGGAACAGGCAGAGAAGGGAAGCCGTGGGCAAGGAGCCAGGAGACAATAGCACGCCAGCCCACACTGCAGCCCTCTGCACATGGCCAGCACTGCCCAGGGGTGTGTGTCACTTTCCCTCCATCCTCCCCATCAGTCACAAGTGAGTGCCATGACCACGCCTCCCCAGTGTGGGCCGCACCACACAGATCCCGGGGAGTGTGGGAGCCCAGCCCAGAGCCTCTCAGCCCCCCTCTCCTCCACACTCACCTTATTGTAGTATTTCAGCTGCACCGTGTGCCACTGGCCGTCACTGACACCTCCGGGCACAAATGGGGACACAGTGGTAGTCGACTCTCCTAGAGAAAGGACCGAGTGAACTGGGACACCAGCAGACAGCTGGGGAAGGCAGGGGTGGGGAGCATGCAGGGTTAACTGTGTGGCCTGGGGACACTGGGAGGTGGGCAGACATGGGGCAGGGGATCACCTGCCGAGAAGGTGAGCTGGACCTGTTCCTGAATCACCTCGAGGGCCACGAAGTCATGTTTTTCATTGAAGCGCCCGTTGTATAACAGCAGCCCGTTGCGCTCCTTGGTGGCGAAACTGCATGGGCACGGGGAAGGTGAAGGAAAACAGAACCCACCTAGATGTCAGCCCTGTCACCTAGCCAGCACCCATCCTGTCCCAGGCCCTCAGAGGGCTGACACTGTGACCCAGATTACATCAGGCCATCAGGTCTGAATTGGAAGAGGAGCCCTGGCCAGGACCCTGGCATCCTCTCCCCATCTGACCTGCAGTAACAGGCAGACAGAGGCGGGTGGCGAAGATACACTGGCAAAGGCACAGGCAGCTCCAGAACTGGCCCGGCTCTACTGCCAACTGGCTCTGAGCTCTTCTGCTGCCCAGCCCCTTACTCTGTCCATGGGACAGGGGGTATCCCGACTCCCATGGCACCCCACAGCCCCAGGCCCAGCCACTCACGAGAGGGCCAGGGTGAAGTGGAAGCGCTGGCGCAGGCCGCGGAAGGTGATGAAGGACCGGGCAGGGAAGCTGCGTGTGGTCACTTGGCAGTAGGGCTTTTCGAAGTCCCCAGATGGGCAGTCACACTTGAAACCACCTACCAGCAGGTTGACACAGGTGCCCCCGTTCCTGCACACACCCGGGGTGCAACGGCCAGAACGGGCACTCACCTCACAGTGCTCACCTGGGCAAGAACAAAGGCAGGGTGAGGAGGGGCAGGGGAACTGGGGCTCCCCCAGCGACGCTGCCATGGCCCCTGTGACCCCACAACACTCTCCAACTCTCCTGGACACCCTACTTCTTTTCTTGGGTACCCATCTTCTCAGATCTGTGACATCCTGCCCCTTCCAGTGCTCTGGCTGGCTCACAATGCCACTGTCACCACAGATCCACACACAGCTCCCTGTGAAGGTCTTGAAGCCCCAGCCCTCTCTCTCTGCCTGGGCTCCAGGGCCACAAGCCTGGGGTCCTCATCCCAGGGCCAGATCACAGCAATCTTCAGGGCCACGCCACCAAGCATGCTGTGGGATGCTCTGAGCAGAGGCCAATGCACAAGGCAGGGAGGGACCTGTGGGACAGCATGAGACTCGCTCCAGCTCCCACCCTGCTCCTCCCGCCCTCACACTGGTGCTATTGTCCCTGCCAGGCATGGAGATCAGTTTCCTTCCCTGGGGATGGGACCAGACTTCCACTTGGATTTGCCCAAGGTATAGGGCAGGGAGGAAAGCTGGCACCTTCCCCAGGCATGGGGCTCAGAACTACCAGCCAGAACCCAAGTGCAGGCCAGGAACCCTGTGCACCTGGGCAATACAGGGAGCAGACACCTCAGCCGTGGGACAGATCCAGACTCAACGGAGGAGCCGAAAATTCCCACATCAGATGGAAAAATCCACCCCTTCCCCTCCTTCTCTCCCCATCCCCAGATTCTAGAGATAGGTTCTCAGCTCCTGTGCCTAGTGACTGGCTCTCGTTTCCATGGAAACTGCTGTTCGCCTCCTGGAAGTCCCCTCTCCCCATCCTCCTGGACAAAGACTCCCCTCCCCTCCCCCAGTCTCCCCTCCCCTGCCCCCAGCAGCCTGGAAGAGTCAAGTCTGGCAAGTTCTGGGCAGGAAGATACAGCAGGACAGGCAGTGAGGCTCCTGGCTCTGGAGGTGGGGAGGAGGCCAGGGGAGGAAGGGGAGCAGGTCATGGCGGGTGCCAAGAGCAGGAGCCTGCTGGGAGGAGTTAGAGGCCCAGACAGAGGCTATGAGCACCCCTGGGCGAGGCAGGGACAGGAGGCGCAGAGACAACAGGTCATGGCCCGCAGGGAGGTGGCAACAGAGCCATTCTGCCAGGGGCTACACAGTAGCAGGGTCCTTGTCCCCACCCCGTCCCCCACCTTTCTACTGTCCCCAGTTCCTCTGCACCTCTCCCTCACTACCTGGGAAAAAAATGCCCGCTACAGCAATGGGGAAACCAAGTCGGCAGTGCAGCCTCCACCCTGCCCCAGCGGAGCAGGGCTGAACTAAAGCTGGCACTTGACACAGGCCAGCTCTTTTTGTCTTAAGTTAATCTTCACAATCCAACTTTTGATCTAATTGGCTTCCTCTATTTGAAAGTACTGAAGCCCAGAGAGGTTAAGCAAAAGCTACCGTCCTGTTGGCAAAGCTGGAAAACAAACCTACACCCAGCCAGCGCTGGCCTCAATCTCACAATTAGAAGGGGGTGTGGCTGGCGGGTGGTTCCATGTGCCACAGTGGGGTGACCCAGGTGCGCCCAAGCCACCATAATCCACCCCCGCCGGCCGGGCAGCCCCCATGGCTCGTGGGCGCAGCTTACCCGTGTAGCCATCCCGGCAGAGGCAGGTGTAGCCGCCTTCCCTGCTGCGGCAGCGCCCATGGGGCCCACAGGGCCTAGAGTAGCACAGATCCACCTCGGTCTCGCAGTAGTCGCCGGTGAAGCCAGGTGGGCAGCGGCAGCGCAGACCCCCAACAGGGTGGATGGGCCGGAAAAGCACAGAGGAGGACGCGATGAAGGGCGCGGAGGAGTCAAAGCGCAGCACCGAAACACAGCGCATGTAGTTCTCGCAGGGCTCACGCAGGCAGATGTTGTCGTCAAAGGGCAGCACGCGCTGCGCCGAGATGGCTGTCAGCAGGCTGCGGTTGAGGTACAGGCGCTCCTGCAGGTCCTCCGAGGGCAGGAAGGGTGGCCCTCCGCCTGGGCCTGGTGGCCTGCCCACCGACAAGCTCACGTTGAGGATGTGGCCGCCAGGCGCGTCCGTGTCCCGCTGCACGTTGAAGACCACCACGTGGTCTGGTGGTGTGGCCAGTGTGGCCGCCACCGCCTGGATGAAGAGCCCGAGCAGGGGCGACAGGAAGCGCTCGGGGGACATGTCCTGCAGGCGCAGCGTGATGCTGTGCGTGAGCATCTCATCCGTGATGATGGTGACACGCAGCGCGCACTGGGCGGTCACGCTGTGCACGCCATCTGCAGGGAACGAACGCAGTCAGCGCAGGCTGGGGAGTGCCAGGCCCTGGGCATGGGCAGCAGGAGGGGAAGACGGCAGGCACCATGGCCAGACAGGAAATGCTCCCTTTCCTTTTCTTCTTTTTGGTACCAGGAGTGGAACTCAGGACCTTGTGCTTACCCAGCAGGCACTGGGCTGCTGAGCTACATTCCAGGCCCCTCCCTTTCCCAACACCCATAAGGTGGGCAACACGCCCACCCCACAGAGGTAAGATCATCAGAAGTTCTCTTTGCGTTCTTCCCATCTTGTGAACACTGGTATTTTTTTTTTTTTTTTTTTTTTTTTTTTTTTTTTTTGAGGACAAAGTCTCACTATGTAGCCCAGGCTGGCTTCAAACTCACTCTCCTCCTGCCTCAGTCTCCAGAATGCTGGGTGACAGGTGTGCGCCAGGACACCCAGCTACAATGCACCATTTAATGTTTATGCATCTTTTCCTGCTTGAGCCCTGGGTCTAGTCCTGGGCTTCCTCACTTCCCAGGAGCCCTGTTTTGTCCCCTGCTTACTTCTCTACAGGGCAGAGTGTGGCACTCACAGAAATTACTGCCCCGCACACAGCTTCCTGTCCTCTGCATCAAGATGCTCATAACCCCAACCCTGCCTGTGCCCCCAGACCCCACAGCAGCAAGTAGGGAATGGGAGTGGCCCCCAGTGAGCCGCATGTCCCCTCCCACTGGGCTCCATGGCCGCCTGGGCGCAGGCCCACCATCCCCATGGCAACACCCCACACAAAGCACTCTTCCCGCCTAGCTCTCAGGCTGTGTGGCAGCCTGGGGACCACACCCCAGGGAAACAGCGGAACCACCTTAACCACGCTGGAAACAGGTCAGTGGGTGGGGACAGACCTGTGCACAGGTGGAAGCTGGCAGCTTCCATGTGGAGACCCCAGGTCCCCTGGGCTGATCTCTCCCTGGCTCTGGGGCTTCTAGCAGCTCCTCACCCACTCAGTGCACAGCACTGTGCCCAAGGGCTGGCCCACAAGCCCCTGGGTGGCCTCGCTCCTGAGCAGCGCGTCCTCACACTTGCAGGTGCCTCGCTCCACCCACGCACCCGCACCTTGGAAATAGCATGCACACCTGGATGCCCATGCAGATGGGACAGGTTTCTGTAACTCAAAAACAAAAGCTGGAGAAAGATGTGCAGGGCCACAAAGGAATACTTTTACCTTGGTGCAGCGCCCGTACCCTCCCACAGCAGGCGCGCAGTAAATACTAAGATGCTGATGAGAATCCAATCAGTCCCCTAGTGAAGAAATAGTCTTGAAAATACAGCAGCAGGGGCCACAACTAGCTACAGCAAAGGGCACCCAGGCAGGAAGGGGATGGGGTAGGGGTGCGATGTAGGCAGCCACCGTGTGTCGCACTCGTACCTAGCAGTGTGGCCGAGCAGGGCGCTTGGGCAGACACACGCGGAGCTATGCCCCGCACCACTGCGCCCTGCCAGCCCCACTGCCCTCCCAGTGAACCTGCTTCACCACTCACTGCTCTGGTCCAGGGGCTTCTGCCCAAGCTGCTCCTTCCCACCAGAGGTACCCAGAACCAGTCCTTCAAGGAGTCTAGGCTGCCCTAAGGTCCCCTGCTACAGAATTGAAAGGGGGCTTCCCTTGCCCCCCTTTTCCAGGTCCAGAGCTGGCATAGGGCTCTAGGCCGCCTGCCAGGGGTTCCTGGCCGGAGCCTCTTGGAGAAGTGAGCAGTCAGGGACTGCACATGCAGGGCTCCCACTCCCATGCAGACAGGAGGTAGTCAGTACCAAGCAGCACGAGGAGCCTCGTGCCCCTCAGCCCTGGAAAAGGCACAGCCCCGCCCCCGTCCCGCCCCAGCCCAACAACTTGTGTCTGTGCTTCCCATCTGGCCCACCACCTGCGGCCACCTGCCCTCTGCTACTGTCCCCACACCAACACTCAATTCACTGCTCTCTCTCTCTCTCCCCTTTATCCCTCTCTCCTGCCTTGACCGAGGTCATGCCTCAGGTGTAAAGGCGGGGTGGGAACAGGTGGGAGTGCATCTCTGGAGCTGTCCTCCTGGACAGAGGACTGGGGGAGGCTCTGACCCAAGAACCACCACTGGGGCGCAGACCTCAGCCACCTGCCCTGGGAAGGGCCAGATACAGATTCCTGGCCTTTCCTCTCTTGACATCTATGTGAGCAGAGCCAGGGGTCTGCAGCAGCTCTGTTGGGCTGGGGCTGCTCAGGCCCTGGGCAGGAGCTCCAGGGTATCCTAGCAGGGGGAGGCAGCAGCTTCAGGGAAAATTCAGGCTCTAGGGGCTGGGGCGCTGCAGCCACAGAGGAGGAGAGAGGAAAGAGAGAGGCATAAGCAAGCGACCAAAGAGTGAAAGACAAAGGCCCAGAATAAGACCCAGCAGCGGAGACTGGGAGAGAAGGAAAGAGACACACAGGAGCCAGGAGACAGCAGTGTGGAAGGTCCACACGCTCAGAGTGGGAGAGGAGACAAAGAAGCAAAGGAGGAAAACAAAGGGGCAGCCCAGTCAGCCCCTGGCTCAGCCCCCTGAACTTTGGGGTTGCCGTGGTGACTGCCTTCAGGGGTCAGGGCTCAGGGGAAGAGAGGGCTAGGGCTGAAGGGCTGCCCCCGGTGCGCCTTCCCCTTCATGCCAGAGGAGCTGCAATCTGGGCTCTGCCCTGGCGGGAGACCCACGGCTGAGTGGCGGCTGTCCTCTGTCCCATCCCCAGGGTGTAGCCACACTCAAGCAGGGCAGGCTAGGAGGGAGCACCAGAGAGAGGCCCTTCCTTCTATGCCTTCCCCGCCTGCAGGCCCAGCACAGACCAGGATGCCCACTGATGCCTCCTGGTACAGACACAAGTATCAGGGGGCGCAGGCCTTGTCACAGCTCTGAACACTCATTCCCCGGACCAGTGGCCTCCTGAGGGCTCGGTGGGGAGGCATCTGTCCAGTGAGCAGCCTGTGTGGCAGGGGGCTAACGCGCTGCTCTGACTCCTGCCTGCCCCTCACAGAACAGGGGCAGGAGGCCTGGCCAGTGCATCTGTTACTCGCTTCCCTGAGGCGTCTGAAGGCTGTGTGAAGTGAGGTCCCTGACCCAGACCTAGCTCAGCTGCAGTTACGGCCAATAGTGGTTCACTAGGAGACTCCCAGTTGTTCCCAGGGCTGATGAAGGCACTCGACATCCTGGATCCAGTCCTCAACTCACCTCTCACCAGCAGAGCTGACCGGGGGTCCTGCTCTCCTGCTCTGCTCCCCAACCCCAACGTCCTGGGCCCCTGCAGGCTGAGCACTTGGCCAGGCCATAGGAATGCCGGGCCTGGGCCATGGACTCTACTCTTCCCACAGATCAAAGGCCTTGGGATTTCTGCCCTCAAAGCACAACAGTCTTCCGTTCATCCTGCTCCTCACACCCCATTCCCTGGGCCTAGGCTTGTCGCAGACAGCAGGGAGGCCTGGCACCCTAAGAAAAGCCAGGGCAAGGCAAGGGGTCCACGAGGTCTCAGCCTCCCCCAGCTTTACTTCAGCCCTTCCCCCAAGCCAGACCCCCAACCAGAGACTCTGACAGCAGGGTCTGTTTGGACAGAGACAATGAGCTCCGGCTTCACTTCCTGAGGGAGCTCTGAAGCGGTGGCCAGGCCAGTCTCTTGCTGCCTGGAGGGAAAAGAATGCACTAGACAAAGTCCACGTCAGCCGATTCTGCAGCTCAGCCAGGAGTCAAAAGGGGCCAGCGGAGGACTGCAGGGTCCTGACCCCTCAGAGGCGGCCCTGTGCCCCTGCAGCCCTTTGCTGGGCCAGAGGCTGTGTGAGATCACAGGGTGACCCTGATGGGTGTGAGGGGCGCCGCAGGGCCATCTCTCCTCCCTGGAAGTGATCCCCTCTGCCCTTCCCCCAGTTCTCCTGGCCTCCTAGTCTTCCACGCGCCTTTTTTCACAATTCTTGGCAGCTCTAGCCGGGGCAGCCTCACAACACTTCCCCCACCACGTCACAGGCTGGTAGGCAGGGGGCAGCCAACCGAAACAACCCAGTCCAGCCTGGGGCGGCAGGCGGGGCCTGCACCAGCTGCCAGCATTCCTGGGCCTTCTTCCCAAGCTGGCTCTTGGGCCCCCTCACCCTCTGGGCCAGCCACAAGCAGACAGGTGGCTTGCCAACTCCTCCTGCATGGCCCTTTACCTCCAGGGGCTCCCCAGCCTCCCAAGAACTGCCCCAACACCAGCTGGGCCCTTCCTTACCTGACACAAGCACACTCATGATGGCCTCCAGGGGCCGGTTGTTGTCCAGTGCCCGGCTCAGCCTCAGCTCTCCCGTGGACCCATTGAGCAGGACCAAGCTGAGTTCATTTCCCCGCTCAAAGCTGTAAGTCAAGCTATCTGAGATATCAGGGTCATGGGCAGGTACGCGGCCGATGGCACCCCCAGGAAAGCTGCTGGAGCGGTTGGTGACATAGTTGTTGAAAAGGATCTCGAAGTTGCCCAGCACTGGTGGGTTGTCATTGCGGTCAAGGAGGCGGACGTGGACAGTAGCCCTGCTCACCAGGGGAGCTGACGTAGCCTGGATGACAAGAATGTACTCAGGCCGGTCCTCATAGTCCAAGTCCACCAGGGCAGTCAGCTCCCCAGAGAAGATGTCCAGCTGGAAGACCTCAGGGATGTTGCCCTCCACAATCTGGTACATGATCTGGGCGTTGGTGCCTTCGTCAGGGTCAGTGGCTGTGACCCGGGCCACAGCCAGCCCTATGGGGCTGTTTTCCTCCACAAACACATCAAACTCATCCTGCTCAAAGACAGGCGGGTTGTCATTCACGTCCAACACAGTGACGGTCACTTCCATGGGTGTGCGGGCTGGGGGCATCCCCTTGTCCACTGCATACGCTCGCAAGATGTACTGGGCTACATTCTCACGATCCAGCCTCCGCAGCGTCCGCACGATGCCTGACGTGGATTCCACGATAAAGTCACCATCTCCGTCGTCACCTCCTTGGAAGGTATAGAAGACTCGGCCGTTCAGGCCAGAGTCACGATCAGTGGCTGAAATCTGCAAGACACTGGTGAAAGGAGGCACGTCTTCGTAGACACTGCCCTGGTAGGAATCCCGCAGAAACTGAGGGGCATTGTCATTCACATCATTCACTAGGATTTCCAGGTAGGTGGTGTCAGATTTTTGGGGAATGCCATTGTCCCGTGCAGTGATGGCCAGCGTGTAAGACACCTGGTCTTCATAGTCCAACTCAGCTTGGGTTGTGACAGCCCCCGTGTCAGCATCAATGCGGAACTGGGGGATACTGTCCTCCATAAAATAGGTAATCCGGGCATTCTCGCCTGTGTCCTCGTCCGTAGCACTGATCAGCACCACAGTGGTGCCGGGTGGCCGGTCCTCATTAACGTTCACTGTATAGTGGGAGCTCTGAAAGACGGGACGGTGCGTGTTGGCATCAGTAACATTCACCACAACTTGCGCTGTGTCCTGCCTTGTGCCGTCAGAGGCAGTGACAGCCAGCACATACTGCCGCTCCAGTTTGTAGTCCAGTGGCAAGGCAAGGGACACCAGCCCACCGCCACTCTGGCTGGTGATGGAGAAGCGGTTGCGGGTGTTGCCACTAGTGATCTGATAAGTGATCACACTATGGGCATCGCGGTCCACGGCCGACACTGTCACCACACTAGTGCCCACGGCTGCATCCTCATTGAGCCGCACCGTGTACTCTGGCTGGGTGAAGGTTGGGTTGTTGTCGTTGACATCTAAGATGGTCACGCTGACACTGGCTGAGGCAGTGAGTGGCGGGGCACCATGGTCTCGGGCTTCTACCCCAAAGCTGTAGAAATCAACCTCCTCCCGGTCCAGCTCAGCAGCCACAGAGATCCAGCCTGTGCCATTGTTGATGGTAAAGGGGAAATCATGCCCAACACCAGCGAGGCGATATTCCAGGCGGGCGTTGTCACCGGCATCAGCATCAATAGCCTGGACGTGGAGAACCAGGTAGCCCAAGGGGACACTCTCCAGGACAGTGGCCTGGAAGGGGGTGCTGACAAAGATGGGAGCATTATCATTGATATCCAGGACCTGCACAGTTACCAGGCCAGAGACATTGGAGAGCGGGGGCCGGCCACCATCCTGCGCCCGGACCCGCAATGTGTACTCTTTGGTCGTCTCGTAGTCAAGAGGGCTCACCACGTCCAGGGCCCCAGTCTGAGCGTCCAGGTAAAACTGTCCCCGAGCATTGCCGCTCATGATGCTGTAGTGCACCAGGGCATTGCTACCCTTGTCACGATCTGTGGCTGTAATTCGAAGTACTGGGGCACCTGGGGTCACATCCTCCCGCACCTGGACCACATAACGCTTCTCACTAAACTGCGGAGCATTGTCATTGTCATCCTCCACAGACAGGAAAACAGCGGCTGTGGCACTCCGTGGACCTGGGTCCCTACCCTGGTCACTTGCTTCCACTATTAACTTGTATGATTCCACTTCTTCCCGATCCACGGGGCCACGGGTCCGGATCACCCCCGAACGGGGGTCAATCTCAAAGACTTCTGAGGGGCCACCCCCAGACCCCTCCAGCAGGCGGTACAGAATATTAGCATTGGGAGGAGCATCACCATCTGTGGCCCTGACAGTGAGCACCTCATAGCCAACCTCCAGGTTCTCTCTGAGGCTCTCCTTATATTCCTGCTGCTCGAAAACGGGGTCATGATCATTGGTATCAGTGACTAAGATGGTGAGTGTGGCCAGCGCACTCCGGCGTGGCACACCGTGATCCTGCGCGGTGACTCTGAACACATGGGTGCTCTTGGTCTCCCGATCCAGCTCTTCAGCTGTAGTGACAACACCAGTGATTGGGTCCAAGGAGAAGAAATGGTTGGAGCGGCTATCAAAGAGGGCATCCATGGTATACTCAAGCCGGCCAGCCTCACCCTCATCTGGATCAATGGCCCTCAGGGATGCCACAGAGGAGCCTGCTGGCTGGTTCTCAGGCACAGTGGCCTGATAGCTGGGAGGCTGGAACTGAGGGGCTGTATTCACGTTTCTTTTCCGACGCCCACCTACAGGCTCCTCTGGTGACCCTTCCCCTGCACTGAGCCCAGGGACCTGTGCCAGCTTACAGGACTGGCATCTCAGCTGTGGGGCTTTTAAGCAAGGATGCTCCTGGGGCAGGGTCAGTTTTCCCTGTGGGGAAAGGTGGCCTCCAATGCCCAGGAGGCGACAGCTCCAGGGGCAGCCTTCGGGGGCAGGTGGAAGGGGAATATGGGCCCCGGATTCAGGACACCAGGCCCGCAAGCCATCGTGGTGTGGCACTAGGTGGCCAGTCAGCTCTGTGCCCGCATCCTTGCAGCGACTGGTGTAGAGCCAGAGGTTCGAAGCTGAGGCAGGACAGAGCCAACCCACAGGGGCACAGCCCCCCGAAGAGCCGTGTCCCCCGGTTCCCAAGGAACGACAAGGCCCTACTTGGTTTCCCAGCAGTGGCGGCGGCAGCAGCAGCAACAGCAGCAGCAACAGCGGCAGCGGCGGCGGCGGCGGCGGCAGCGGCAGCGGCGGGAGGGGGGCGCTGGCAGCCGGGCCCCGCATCTCTCCCTGCTCCCGGCCCGCCGGGTC